AGAGTTTTAAAAAAGGTACTAAAAGATACCCCCATGAAATTTTATACATTGATTGGTGGCATATTAAACTTTAAATTCGTGTTGCTTTAATTAATTCATATTTGTCCAAAATGGAGAAATGTGTCCAATTTTATTCTTATGAATTATGTAGTTAGAATTACAATTGTTTAAAAATTTACAATCTTTGAATCATGCATTAAAAAAAGTTCCCAAAGGTATCTTTTTATGATTTTGTATCATATTAATTTAGGACACGTTATATTTGATATTACAGTGGACCTTCAGTGCATAAATATGCACAAATGTTAAATATGGTAGAGATTTATTTTGACGTTTAGACGCTCAATATACATCATTTTCAATTGTTTATACGATATCCGCCAAAGTCCCGATTCTTCGACGCTTTCAATCGTAAAAAAGCAGTTAAAGTTCATTTCCCACTGTACTTGTACACATTCTACTTATTACACTTATAGTATCCTGTAATAGTAGTTTTGTTACTTTACCATAATTTTTTCGTTAAAATTGAAGAATACTTTTTATTTAATAAAAAGACAAGGTCATCTCGAATTTTTTTAAGCGAAATGGCATTTTTGTATTTATCAATAAATTGATCTTCGCATTTTATTTAAAAAAAAGTATTACGATACATCACTCGAAAATTAAGAGTTTGATAGTTTTAACTTTTTTTCCCGAACGCTGGTATACTAGAAACAATGTGGCGACCTACCTAACGCGTTTGATTCGGTTCAGAAAATGTTTCCGAGGTCCGAAATCTTCAACAGCTTCTCAATAGACAGGCTCTTTAGGTTATTTAACACTGAGAAAAAGGAGCTCGAGCTGAGAGAGGTTAACCTCTTTGAAACGCGTGCCAATTTAGTAGCAATTGTCGCCCGAGCAGAAGTGTCTCTAGTGTCTTTGTTTTTCCTTTTCTTCTTGTACCGTGGGTTCCAGAGGAGGACCGGAGGAACTGTAACCTGCGGACTAACGGGACCAAGACAGCCGGAGGTTTGGGTTAAAGCTGGAACCAAGACTACTCTCCACTGCCGAGGCGCATTCGACCGGGCCGTTGGGACGACCAAGTCGAAATGAGATAGGGCGAGAGAATCGGGACGGAGGGGAAAGATTGCCGGAGGAGCAAGCTGAAGACGGGTATCAAGATTGCACGGTCTATAAGGGAATATTAGATCGCTGCGGATGAAATGTCGGATTTTTACCGCGACGAATTGCGTCGCTTTTTACGACGACGCCACGGGAATTACTAGAACTATTCTTTCTTCCTTTCTTCCCTTCTTTCACTCTTTCTTCCTCTCTGTCTGTCTCTCTCTTTCTCTCTCTCTCTTTCTCTCTCTCTCTCTTTCTCTCTCTCTCTTTCTCTCTCTCTCTCTTTCTCTCTCTCTCTTTCTCTCTCTCTCTCTCTCTCTCTCTCTTTCTCTCTCTCTCTCTCTCTCTCTCTCTCTCTCTCTCTTTCTCTCTCTCTCTCTTTCTCTCTCTCTTTCTCTCTCTCTCTCTCTCTCTCTCTCTCTCTCTCTCCTTCCTCCTCTTTCATACAGTCGAGCACTCGTGGCGAGAATACATTTCCGCCATGAGGTGTCGTCTAACCGGAGTACGCTCAAAACTTTCTACTTCGAATGTAACAAGAAATGTCCAAGCATTTAATGGAAACCGAATTTGTTTCTGTCTACAGCACCAGCGCGTTTTTACGTTGGGCAATCGAGGTTATGTCCGGATAGCACGGGTCCTCTAACTGTCGGTTCAGTTCGAATTCTCGTTCACAGATGCCGAAAGTGACGCCGGCAATATTTTAACCAGAGACGGGACTGCCTCCTTGAGCTTTCACGCTTTCCAAGCTAACGCGATTTTCAACGAGCGAAGTCGCTTAATCCGTTTCTTCGAAGTTACTTTACCCGCGTTCTCGAATAAGATACAGGCGAATTTTTCACGGCCATTTCTGCGGTGGACAATTTACACGAATTCGTCAAGTAGCCGGCCACTCCATATTGAACAGCGCGGATGTGTATGTTATTCGATTGAGTTAGCGGTAGAGTGGTTTAAAGTTATACGAAATCCGTACGGTTAAATTTACATCGCACAGTCTTCACGCAGCACAGCGTTTCGAGCTCGGACACACAATGATAGAGGTTGGATTCATTGAAACGAAAAGGGATAGACGCGCATCGATAGGCTGCCGCGACTGGGAAAGCAAACGCGCAAGGAAAAAATTTTATTTCCAGTAATTGTCGTCGTGCTTTTACAATTACAGCACCACTATATATCTGAGATTCTTCTGATTAAAATGAGTCCACACACGACGGCAATCGAACGTCGTTTATCAAAAAGCTTATTATTATAAATTGCTTATTAATTAATTCGAGGAGGGCGTAATTTAATCCGATATACATGGTGTTTGAGCTCATTTTAATCAGAAAAATCCCAGCTATTCATCGATGTTACGATAACAAACGCAAGGCAAACTAAAAATGACAATTTGCCAAACCACGATCGCCGTTGCTCATACATTGTCGTGCCGTGCTCGAGTCATTTTTTGCTAGGACAAAATGTTCCGCACGCGAGAATTTCCACGCTGGTTCCCGACACGATGTAAATTTAACCGTGCGCCACTGTATAGTCTGGATCGCGCGCGGCAGGGGTCCATCGCAGCGAATGAGCCACATTAGTATCTGTCTCCGCGAGCGAACGTACCTTTCTACGTTTCACGAGCGAAAGACAGAAAGGGATCTCCCGTAGACCGGAGCTGCCTGAATTCAAAAGAACGCCGTTTCGTAGTTTCTTTGTGACAGAGGACGACGAGCGTGAGGAGGAATAAGATAATGGAAGTCGAATACTTTCGTTGGGGGATATTCCCGAGCCATCGCGAAGAAAACGGGAAAGCGAGATGGAAAGAGGCTTCTATGACATCTGACGGAGGGAAAATTCGCAATATCTACGTACCACGTATAATCCATATCACGAATGTAATAGATTTAGGGCAAGGAAGTCCGCGTGCTCCGATCGATCAAGACTCGTGAGCGAACGTGAAATAAACGTAACCGTATTTCTCGTGACGAATTGTTATGCGCATCCTGCAAGAGGAACGACGCGTAGTAAATCCGAAGCAATTAGCGGTAGCAATTAATCGGTGCTCTTAATTGAAGGAACGCTCAGGCTCGGCAATTCTGCGAAACAGGAAAAAAGAGTCTCGCGTAGAACCTGCGATCCCCGGCGAACCGTGAAAACGACCGAATCAGCGGAGAAGCTTAATAAGCGAGCTCCGCGCGCACAAAAGGTCCGACATTTCGTATGCACCGATCAAACAATATTCAGGGATTTCTCGCGATCCAGCGTCAGGCTGTATCTCTTTCATTTTTTTCACCAGTCACTGTTCCAGTACCCTCGATCCCTCCAACGCTTGTTCCCGGATCCGTCTTTCTCCCGGTAAACAGGAAACATTCGCTCGCCTCGCTCGCCGGAGACGGAATACTTCACAGTTCACCCCTTGCACTACGATTTCTTTCACGTTCGTTACCACTTATGCAGCTTTTAACAGTTTCACTGTCATGCAAACCATCCCGGAAATTGCATAAAACGAAAGCATTTTATTTAATCAGATTAAAATGCTTTGTACTCGCGCGCGCGGGGATAACTAACTTTACATTTATCGAATAAGGCGTATTCAATTTTTCTTTTTTAAATAGACAAAATAAGAGAATACAAAAATGTAATACGTTATATTCGATAAATGTAAAGTTAATTATCCCCGGAAATAAATTTTTAAACCTGAACGTATAATTGCGTCACTTATACTTCGTTCAACGAGAACTGACATAAAATATAAACAGCTGCACGCGAGCGATGCAATTTTCGGGCCTTTTTACACGAGGTTACCCTGCGTGCAAGGGCCTTCGATGAGGATCTCCTAAATTTCGTCCCTGTGCATTGTTGTCCAACAGTCGATCGCTTGAACACGTTCTGTTTACATTGTGTGCCAGTCTTGTTGAACGTAGCGTACATATGTGTCTGACATAGCAGTCAAAGTGTTTGCTAAGTTCCTTGATAAAATTTTTATTCCTTACGTGACTAAATTCACTTTCATTCATAAACTATCATAATAGAAGAATCAAATTTTGTTTCGATTTAGAAGGAACAAATAACATCCACATTCGATGGCTTATGTATGAAATCTTCGTCACTGGTTTAAATCATTGTTATAGTGCAAGGAGTTGAATATATCCGCCCCTATAGATCGATAGTGTATACAAAAGAATACATGCAGCTTCTTCTCTCGCTCGGCAGAACTCTCGTCCTCCAGCAACGCGCGACGGTAAACGGTGAGTGCCCGTGCAACTTACGCTCCATGTAAAATATTTTGGCTGGTGCGATTGATGCCGCAGATTTTCTCGGCTGCGTGCCCATTTGTTTAGCAACCTATCGGACGACAAGTTTTATCGCACACGATATCGTTTACTTGGATTTTAAAAATCTGTTACGCAGGATGTTTCGCTTGAAACAAATCACCTACATATCTTCTCCAATTGTGATGTTACAAAAAATTATCGTATATGGAATGACGAATACGATGCAAATAGCAGTTTCTTCTTTTCGAGATCATTTTTTCCGGAGTTTTTAAAGGTCATCGATGTTGATTAAGTGCACATTTCTGACGTTAAAATACATTTTGACGTGCATGATGAATTTTCCATGAAATGACATTCGACTCCGAGACTCAAAACATGACCTTTGGCTTCAATGTAGTTTAACGTCAGCTATACGATGCAATAAAAAAAATGCATTTATATGCAAATCAAGATCGAGGATCTTAAAAACTCCGTTAAAAATGATTCTCAAAGATAGTCGAAGATACAATATTTTTTGTGGCATCCCTGTTGGAGAAGATATTTAAGTCTGCTGTTTTAAGCAAAACACCTTGCATACCAGCAGTCATGAACAAACGATGAATTTTAACATCAGTTATATATGTATTGCGTAACTGTTACTTATTTATCTTGTTTGTTTCGTTTTGAGATCTACAGATGCCGTTTTTACTATATGGTGAAGACTCGAAATCTCTTATGGCATAGTCCTGAGTGGTCGAGTCACTTCGCGGAGTCACTTCTCCCTGTTATGGGAGAATTTTAATTACGTTTTCCAATCTTGCAAATTTAAGTGAGCATCACTACAACCCGTGAAATAACATGTTTAATTATATAGTTTGTCGTTGTCGGAACAAATGTGCAACGCTTACTTCTTACCTTCAAGTGGTGACCACTGTTGTAATATCACTAGTGGCAACGTAACGTCAAATGGACTCTCAATCAATAATGATGATTTGACATCAAACTGATTCCGTATCAATAGTAGTGACTTGATATCAAACTTGATGTCAAATCATCATTAACACTTTACTGGCCGCTGGTACAACATATGTATAATGCGCGGTGAATTCGGGAAAAGTCACTACGCAAGGAGTGGGGACAGACGACGCATGCGCGGGAATCCCACATAGCTCTGCGTCGCGTCGCGCGTCGACATCGTAGTTCAGAATTATAATATCCATATAGTAGACGCGCCGCACCGCTATGCAGGACTCCCTGTAGTATCGGTGATAGAAATTACTAGTTATTTTCGATTCGACTGAGAACGAGTGCGAAATCGCAATTTACCTTGATTTCTTTAATCTTCCATTAGGTACATACATTTCTATTTAATGTATAAATATATAATTTACATATTATTTATAAATATATAAATAATATTCAACATTTAAATTTAAATATTTGTGAAGTTTACCTGACAATTGATTGCTGATTTACAAACTGTAATTTAATTATAATTTTGTGTATTTGTAAAATAGCAGTTTAATCCAGGAAAAAGCGTCGGCTCCTATGAAGGTTTTTCATAAAACCATGTGGCCTGTAAATTGTCATTTGATACGGAGACAATTTGACTTCGAGTCACCACTATTGATACAGAGCCAATTTAACTTCAAGTCACCGTCATTGATACGGAGTCAATTTTCCGTCAAATCGCTACTATTGTAGCGGCATGGAGTCAATTTGACATACATCACCACTTTTATTGATGACCTTCTAAACAACAGCGATTAGAAGTTTTCCGATTATGCTCATCACTTAAAAGGCAAACAAAATTTATATTTATTATGTGCCTACATTTACTTGACTGATTAAATACTGATGACAAGAGAACTGAATCTTACTGCAACTTCAAAGAACGGAATAGCATTCATACTTAACAAGTTATCTAGAAATCCTCGTCAAGAATCAGACTCGTTGAAGTACGGCAAGGGATT